TAGCCCTGGTTTTAGCGATGGCCACTTCTATCTGAAACAGCAAGTGAGATTTCTGTACACAGATGCATTTCGCCTTTTACCTACAACTTGGCATTCGGTCTGCTGATTGTAGTGATCTGAGTTCACCCGCTGCCTCGACCCTATAGTTATAGTCATCGGAGACCTATACCGCATCAACTATACCCTTTCCGCCCTCACGGCAAACACCAGACAACCGAAGGCGGAAACGGATGTAGTTTTTAATAGAGTTAAAAGGCCTGTCCACGTGGGCCTTAGGCACGTTTTCTTCGCACACAATGGGTCAGCATTTCACATAAAAATATGGGGCGGCTTAGGCCCCGACCGAGTGGGAGGGCTGTACATGCCGCTTGCCGAGGGAGCCAGTCCAGCTTGGATCGCAGTTCAGGTAATATAACCAGGTTATCCCATCGGTTAGCAGCCATCCGGGTCAAGCACGACGTGATAGCTTCACACATGTCAGCTTGCTTAGTAGGAGGAATATGCGGTGGGGGAAGACGTCACTTTCAGTCTCCTGTCGGAATCTCTCAGTCAAATGTTGTGAGCATAGGGAACAGTGTCTGACAGAACTAGATACCTCGTCTGCACCTGATATACACGATCTGCTTTCGCACGACACACCAGGTTTTCACGCAAAAGGAGGTTGGTAACGGTTATCATGTAAGTGTAAGAATGCCAGTGGATATTTCGAAAATGTTGTCCTACGAAAACGGTGGTTATAGGGTTTTATGGGTGGGGAATTAGGATAGACAGTGGAATATACTTTGATAACTGATATATGCATTTTTATTTTATTGCATTTCGAAAAGTTGTTGATTTATATCTGTAGATCTTCGTAATCTGTATTATCGCTTAACGTATTGCGGAAAAGGCCGATTACCAAACTGCAGGTTTCTTGAAATTCCTGAAAATAGAAGTGGTGGTTAGGAGGTCGTCTACTTCAACTTACTTGAGGTCCAACTTACTGTTGTGCAGTTAGATTAGTACAGGCCGCGGCGTGGAACAACTCATTCCCAGCGGCCGCGGGAAACAAATTCGGCTATATGTTTTCACTTATCATTTAGTTCTAAACATTTCCTTCCATACTTATCCTATTTCCCCACTTCAAAAAACCGTTTTCGTAGGCCAAAATGCTGGGACTAGGGATATATGAGGTACACTACATAAACCACTTTTGCACTGCGTCTAAACACGCTTTGTAATCGCTCAACCGTTCGTAGCCGGTGTCAGGAGAGAATGAAAAAGAGTGCAACATAGGACATAGTTAAAAGGAGCAGTTGAGCCTGATTTTCAGTCTAATACTCGCCTTCCTCCATAGAAATGCACTCTTGACTAACTCCCAGTTTTCACGTCAATCGACAGGCATTGACTTCTAGCCAACCATGGTAAATTCAAGTGCCTCGAAGTGATTAAGTTAAGAAGTATGCTCTGAAAGTCAAGCTCATTCTCTTTTCTCGCTCCTATGAATCATTCGATTTTCTGAGCTGGTTTACCAGTTGATGCTGAAATCGTGTGCAGTGAGTGGCAGAGCTACACAGTCCGTCTGCGCGGGCCACACACGGCCTCTCCCTTCCCCAAACAATACACTAGATTTTCACATAATAGGCTGGGCGTGTAGACTTACTGCTACAACCGGGTTCACTATAAAGGTACGATTTAAAGCCTGGGCCTGAGAATGAAAATTGACAGTTAGGTTGGCAGTTCAGCACACTTTCTGCACTATAAACACTCTGACACTACGCTCCACTAGAAGCCGTGTCTTAACGGTGGCCAACTGATGAGATAACACGGATTGCACAGCCAATCCAATGTGTGTTCCTGCGGACTAACCGACTGCATGACTGAGAATCAGACTCTATTGGCTGCTACCTTATACAGCCTCTATGGCACACCCGCCCCGTGCAATCCGACGTGTAAAACAACCCGGATGTGT